CACCTAGGGACACAATTCTACTCTGATATACATGGGGTCGCCATGAGTCAGAATTGATTACACAGCAACTGTTTTTTTTTTTTTTTTTTTTAATCTCATGATATGTCTGAGTATTAAATGAGTTAATTGGTGTAAAGTGCTGACAGCTGTGCCGAGTAAGTGCTCAATAAATGTTAGCTTTGTTTATCTGTTTGCTCATTTTTATCCCAAGGCCAGCTGATTAGTGGCAGACCAGAAGTAAACCCTGGGTATTTCCTTTAACTGCTGGCCATATCCCCTGAGCAGCAACCATTCCTTCTGAACAGTCCAGAACCACTAAGTTGCTGCCTGACACACAACTTAGTGATAAAAACATAGGAACTGGCACATATTTCCTGTCTCTATGCCTTTGTCTCATTGTGTCATGTAGAACCTGTACATAAACCAAGGGGTAGTTGTTTGAACAGAACAAGGGGATACTGCATGGTTTTAAAAAAGGAACGACGTGTGTCAGGGTTATATCCTTGTACCATATTTATTCAGTCAATATGCTGAGCAAATAAACTGAGAAGCTGGACTATATGAAGAAGAATGTAGCATCAGGATTGGGGGAAGACTCATTAACAACCTGTGATATATAGATGACACAACCTTGCTTGTTGAAAGTGAAGAGGACTTGAAGCACTTACTGATGAAGATCAAAGACTACAGCCTTCAGTATGGATTATACTTCAATATAAAGAAAACAACTGGACCAACTGGGCTAATAAGCAACATTATGATAAACAAAGACTGAAGTTGTCAAGTATTTAATTTTAGCTGGATCCATAATCAATTCCTATGGAAGCAGTAGTCAAGAAATCAAATGATGTATTGGGCAAATCTGCTGCAAAAGACCTCTTTAAAGTGTTAAAAAGCAGAAAAAGAAAAAGAAAAATTGCTATGCCTAACCCAAGCCATGGTATTTTCAGTTGTCTCATGTGCATGCTAAAGGTGGACAAGGAATAAGGAAGACCCAAGAAGAATTGATGCCTCTGAATTATGGTTTTGGTGAAGAATGTTGACTATACCATGGACTGCCAGAAGAATAGTTTGTCTTACTGTGTGGCTTGCATGTTGCTGTGAGGCTGGAGGCTATGCCACCGGTATTTCAAATACCACCAAGGTCACCTGTGGTGGAAAGGTTTCAGCAGAGCTTCCAGACTAAGACAGATTAGAAAGAAGGATGAGGTCGTCCACTTTTGAAAAAATTGGCCACTGAACCAAAGATTCATGGAAACAATTAGTCCTAGTGACTGGTACACCATGCGATCCTAAGCCTATATGACTATGAGACCAGAAGAACTAGATGGTGCCCGGCTACTACTGTCAACCACTCGGACAGGGATCTATGTAGGTAGGGATCCTGGATAGAGTGGGAGAACAATGTGGAACAAAACTCAAAATCATTAAAAAAAAAAACAAAAAAAGGGGCCAGGTTTGCTGGTCTGATAGAGCCCAATGGAACCACTGAGACTATGGCCCCTCACTGCCCTTCCAGCCAAACAAAAGACAGGCATATGAGGTGAACATTTACACTAGGTAGATACTTTCCTTGGAGAGAACGATCATGGGAGAAAGAAGGGCTGTTTGTGCACAGGGAGACAGATCAGGGGGCAGGAGTGTATGGAGAGATGGACACAGGGAAGAGGTAACTATGGGAGGAAGTGGGGGGGAGATGTTGCATTGTGGGAAATTGTAGTCAATGTCATGAGACAAAGTGTATGTGAACTGCTGTATGAAAAATGAATTTGCTCTGTAAAGTTTCACCCAAATCACACACACACAAAAAGAATGTGGACAAACTAGAACTCTGATACATTGCTCATGGTGTTGTAAAATGGTGCAGCCACTTTGGAAAACAGCTTTGGAATTGGGCCAGTTTCTCAAAGGGTCAAACATGGAGTTACCATAGGATCCAACAATTCCACTTCCAGGTATATACCCAAGAGAAATGAAAACATATATTCACATAAAAACTTGGACACAAATGTTCATAGCAGCATTATTCATAATAACCAAAAAGCAGAAAACAACCCAAATGCCTATTAGCTTATGAATAAATAAATACAATGTGATATAGCCATACAATGGAATATTATTGTGTCATAAAAAGAAATGAAGTACTGATACATGCTATAACATGGATAAACCTTGAAGACATTATGCTAATTGAAAGAAGCCAGTAACAAAAGCCCACATATTGTATAATTCCATCTGCATGAAATATGCTTGTTGTTGTTATGTGCCGTCGAGTCGGACCTGACTCATAGCGACCCCTCCTTGGGTTTCTGAGGCAATAGCACTGTGGAAGTAGATTGCCCAACCTTCCTTCTGAGGAGTGGCTGGTAGGGTTGAACTGCCAGCCTTCTGGTTAGCAGTCAAGTGCCTTAGCATTACGGCACCAGAGCTCCTTAAGAAATATGCAGAACAGGCAAATTCATAGAAACAGTACATTAGTGGTTGCCTAGGACCAGGAGGATGGGAAAATGGGGAATGACTGCTGTTGAGTACACAGCTTCTTCTGGGGATGATGAAAATGTTCTAAAATTGATTGTAGTGTTAGTTGCACAACTGTAAATTAATCGCTTTAATTGGGAGGATTGTATGGTATGTGAATTATATCTCAATAAAGTTGTTTAAAAATTTTTTAAAAATGGCTACTGAAAACCTTATGAATAGCAGTGAAACACTGTCTGATACGTTATAGGAAAACTTTGTATGAAGACCCTTGAAACATTGTGGAGGGTCAGAGATAAAAGGGAAGACCCTCAGAGAGATGGATCAACACAGTGGTTGTAATGATGAGCTCAAGTGTAACAGAGATTATGAGGATGGTGTAGAATCAGGCAGTGTTTGTACATAGGGTTGCTATGAGTTAGATTTGACTCATGGCACCTAACTCACACATGAGAAGGATGAACAAATCTGTCTTGGAAGAAGTACAGCCAGAATGCTCCTTAGAAGCCAGGATGGCAAGACTTCATCTCATGTACTTTAGACATGTTATCAGGAGGGACCAGTCTCTGGAGAAAGTAGCCAGTCAGTGAAAAAGAGGAAGACCTTCAACAAGATGGATTTACGCAGCAGCTGCAACAATGAGCTCAAACAAGGTTCAACAACATTGATTGACACAGTGGCTGCAACAGTGAGCTCAAACAAGCAATTATTGTGCGGATGGCATAGAACTGGGCAGTGTTTCATACTGTGAGTTGCAACTGACTTGACAGCACCTAACAACAACAACATGCCTTTGCCTAGAGTACCTCTCTTCATTTCTGCTTGTCAAAATTCTTTCTACAAAAGTTACCTTTCCTAACCCCTCCTCCCTAAGGCACTCTACCTGACTAGAGCCCCCATCCTTCATTGTGTGTATTTCTCCTAGGATTCTAGTCACTTTCTGCCTTGTCTAATCCCCTCTTTCTCTTTCTGAACAATCTGAGAACAGGGACCAAATCTGACTTCCTGGCAGCCCCAGCCCACTGTGCACCCCAGCCCCTGTGTGGCAGGTGGTCAGGTCACACTGGTGAAAAGGAAAGAAAGAGGAATGTGGCAGGAGGCAGGGGATTTCTGAAAGCCAAGTGAAGGGACCTGGGGCTGATCAGGTGGGACAGGTACAGGGCCAGGCCTCCCTGTCTTCCAGAAACCTACAACAGGACCCTCCTCAGAAACCCTGAGTCCTTGAAGGCCTTTCCCAGAGCAAGGTGGCTTTAGGCATTTGAAGGGTACCTGTTCACATAAGAATCTTGTTTACAGGTAAACTCTACCCCATCTCAATACTCTACCCCATCTCAAACTCTACCCCATCAACAATCAGACGAAGGCCACTCATTTTACATTGACTCCAAATTTGAAAGCCTACACAAGGACACCTAATCTGAACTGTGACCCTTGCAAGGTCTCTGCCCTTTCTGGGCCTCAGTTTCCCCATCTATGCAGGGAGGCCTTGAAAGACTTTGCAGCTCTGACCAAAGAATATGCCCACCCCGTGCCCCTAATGGGGGCTCCTCCAGGGGTGAGGAACAGGTAGGGAAGTACACCCAGACTCTCCTCTTCCTAGGAACCCCTTACTCACTGGGGTGAGGAGCTGTGTCACCATGACCACGTCTTTCTGGAAAACCTCCCACACTTCCGTTCTTGCCCCAGGTTTCAGCTGGAGGAACTGCTGCTTTTTTGCTCACATCTCTGTGAATATATTTTTGGCCTTGCTGGGCTTGATGTGGTCAAATGTGTGGGTGTTTCCTTTTAATTTGAGGTCTGAAGTTGTCTGAGGCCTGGATCAGTAATTATGAGTGCAGACCATTTATGGAAACAACTCTTGACAAAAGTCAGTAATGAAAACTAACTAAAAATACCTCAGAAATGAAGCCTAGGTCCCTTCATGGCCATGCTGAGATTTCCGGGTGGGAGAAACCCTTTCAAAATGCAGAGTCGACAAGTAGAATCACAAGCTATTCTGTGGCCCTGCAGAGGCCATGGAGGCTGGGTCTTGTTTTAGGTCTGAAGTGCCCTCACTCTCAGCCTTTGTTACTGGCAGGACCAGCTAGACAGGCCCAGCCCACCTGCTGCCTAGGTCAGGGGAGCCTGCCGTCCATCCCCAGGGCCATGAAGGGAGGCAAGTCCACAGAGAAGCTTCAGATGGAGACACACTGTGAGGGACACAGAAGCCACCTCAGAACAGCAGAGATACCAGCCCAGGGACAGTGGGTCCTGGACACTGAGCTGCCATATAGCGGTCCAGGAGCCCTTGGGCAGCATGGGCCTAGCATCTCCTCTGGGCCCATTGAACACAGGGGCCTTGGGGAGTGGATCGCTGAGAGCCTCCTGCTTTTACTCCACCATGCTCAGTTCCTGCCTTCAAAGAGCTAACCAGAGGACACGAGCCTCTGGTGCAGGCCTGCTGTGTGACGGGGTTAGAGGAGGGATGAGGAGGCTCTTAAAACTGTACTGAAAGGAAAGGAGCTTTAGCAGGGGTGAGGGACATGGCGAGTAGGGAATATGGTGGGGGAGGGAGACGTGGTGGGGCAGGGGACATGGTAGAGAGGGAGATACAGTAGGGTGGAGGACATGACAGGGTTGGGGATGTGGTGGGGGAGGGAGACATTGTTGGGAGGGAGATATGGTGAAGTGGGGACCAAAGCAGGGGAGGGAGATGTGGTGGAATAGGTGACATAGCAGAGAGGGGCACATGGTGGGGTGGGGGACATGGCAGAGTAGAGGACAACTCAGGAGAGAGTGGCATTGAGGAGACAATAGAGGTGGGAGTGTTTGCAGCCAAAAGGCACAGGAGGCCATGATGGACAGATGCTGGGGCCAGGTCACAGACAGCCTGTACGACAGAGTGAACTTAGGTTCCTCCATTGGCCCTGTGGGCTAGGGAAGGGTATGATGAGAGGAATGATGGATCAGGTGAGGTCAGAGAGGTCCGTTCTCTTAACAGCCCCTCTGAGCTGGAGGAAGAGGGTGTCTTTTGAAGTCTTACTTTTGGTCAGAAAGAAGATAGATTTAGGTTGTCTGGGTGACTCTCAATTTTGTCCCAGGCACAAAGATAGCCTAAGTCTTTGTTGGTGTCAGGCTGGTGGACACTGAGGTTGGCGTTTGGAAATTTAGCCTGTGAGTGGTGAGTGCAGGCAGGGCCGCAGACCTGGACTGGAAAAGAGTGAATGACACCCATCCTCCTGCCCAGAGAGGGCATGCTTTTCCTGCAATCATGGGATTTGGAGATGATTTTACCGGAGGCTGGAGGACAAGGCTGAGTGCTTCTGATTGTTTATTGTCCCAGGAGCCACATTAGAATGATTCAGAAAGTAAATTCATTTACTGCTTCCCCAAACAGAAGCTGATTGAATGTTTTTGAACAGTTTTGGAAGCTTTTATAACTTTGTGGAAAGTTGATATTTAGAGATACCAGTGGAACCAGGTATAGCTTTGTCTGTTCTTTATGCCCAGTGAAGAGCTTTGGGCATTGGTCTTTTCATATTTTTGTTTGTCTTTGGGATTGTCACATCAAAGGGTAAATTCATATGTAATTTTGCTAGATATTGCCAAATTACTCTACACAGGATGTTCATGTCTGAGCTTACCTATTTCTCAAAGGCCGTGAGCATAGGAGAGGGAAAGAGGTCACTCAGACGTGCCACTCAGACATGGACCACTCCCCAAAGCATCACTGTGGGCTTTACTTTCAAGCCCATAACCTTCTATTTCCTTCACAGCATTTATCACAATAGAAATGACAGAGCATATATTTCACTTCTTTTTTTGTTGCTGTTCTGTCTCTCCCATTAGACTGTAAACACCATTTGTTGCTGTTCTGTCTCTCCCATTAGACTGTAAACACCATGAGTGCAGAGGCCTTGTCTATCTGTTCACGGCTTTATTCCCAGTGCCAGCACAGTGCCTTACACAGAGTAAGAGCTTAAGGAATTTGTTTATAAATTGAACATGATAAATTTGTGAATGAATGAGGGGATGAATATATTTACTTAGAAAAGGATAATTCAGAGTCTTTCTTTTATCAGCCAAGTCCTTGGGATTTCTGATATGGCCTCCTGATTATACTGCATCTTAGCACAAAGTTAACAGGTTGCAAGTCACATCCATTCAAAACTCCTGTTGACTGAACATTCCTCCAGTCTATCACCTCAACTGTTTACAAAGCCCTTTCACAGTCCTATGAGGAAAGCTAGGCAGTATCCTTATCTCTGGTTCACAGAGGAGACTGAGGCCAATGGGGAAGTACAAGATTCGTGCACGGTTAGCCCTGAGATCAGGGTCCTGGCCACCAGCCAGAGCTCTCTGTACTGCTCAGTGTTGCTTCTCTGGCTAAAGCAGGCTCAGTTTGCATAGTTAACAAGGGGAAAACATGGGTGCCAGAAAATGGTTTTCCACAACACCAGCCTTTGGGAAATGTCTGTCCAATTCCAAGCCAACAGCTACTGAAAAAGCTTCAACTCCACGGGTGACCTCTGCCCACTATCTCTACTGACTATCAGAGGAAGTCACTCCCATTGCTCAGTTCCACATCCCAGGAAATTTCATCAATTTTTGTTGAAAATTACCATTTTCCTAAAAATTTCCCACTTTTTAGTGCTTGCCTGGAATAGCCCGGGTGGAAGACGTCCTGTGCTCTTACCCCTGGATGATTTATCAGTTCCACAAACCCACAGGATGGAAGTTTGGAACTGGGGTCAGTTCAGTTGAGCAAGGCTCTCTTGAGCCAGCCTGCATGGACTCTGGGCTTGTCCATGCCTGCAGGACAGTGAGGGAGGGACAGACGGAGGGGGAGCACACAGCCTGGTGCCCACATGGAGTTGGCTGGTTCGTGGGTTGTTCCTTCAGTCCCTGGATCCAACATGAAACCAGTGTCAGGTCTCCAGACATTCTCCAGTGAGCCCTCAGAACCTACTTGGCACCCCTCACGGGGACTGATGCACATAGTGATGCTTTGGGGAGTGGTCCATGAAGGGCATGTCTGAGTGACCCTCCTTCCCACACACCCTGTGACAGCCAACAGCTCGAACCTAATTCTTTCTTAACTTGCACATCAGGGATTTTGCCCAGCCCCATCTCAAGGTGATCTGTGCAGCCCCTGCGTCCACTGAGTGTGCATATGAGTGGTTGTCTGTCGGGAGGTGGGCACAAGTGTGTGGATATTCACAGGGCATCACCCAGAAAAGATCCTGAACATTGCCCTGGACACCCTCTGCCCATCTAGGAGGGACGCACTGTGTCTGAAATGGCCTGGCTCTCAGCTGGACAGTGGACATTCTAGTTCTTTCCTCCCTGGCCTAGGGATGAACAGTCCATCTCCTCCTGCCCAAACATATCTGTCCCCTGGCTCTGCCCAACACAGCTGCTTGTCTGCCCATCCCTGGACCAAGTCCCCACCACGAGGACAGGACGTGCTGCCACATCCGTCTTGGGCTGCACAGCATGGGGTTTTTAAAAACTCAACTGTGTCACTGAGTCCAGTAGCCACAGAGAGAACTTTTAAAAAGACTCACAAACATATAATTAAAATCTCAGTGTTGGGCTTGAGAAAGGCGCTGGGTGGCTCCTGCCCCTGCTTTCCGGAGTCACAGATTTTTGGCATTGGAAAGTGGCAGGAGGCTAGCGTGAGACTACCCCAAATACACTGTCCTGAGCATTTCTGCACAGCTGGAGAAACGTGGGGTTTGTTCCACAACTGCGGCCTCTCCCACAGACTGTCACACCAGCCCCCACCTCTGAACCCCGCCTCTGCCTAACCTCCTGTCCTACCCTTGTGCCACGGACATCTCCCGGTCCTCCTCCACTCAAACCACACTGCTGCCCTGTTGCCCCAAACCCTGGTGCTCCCGCTGGCAAAGAGCCCACGCCCCGAGCCAGAAGTCAAGCCCTCCGCAGTCAGCCCACAACCACATTCTTGTCCTGGACCCCACTCTGCCAGCCTGGGTGTGGCTCCCAGTGGCCTCCATGCCTGTGTGCAAGAGTCCTCTCTGCCTGGAATGTCCTGCCTGTCACCTTTGCTGCCTGTCAAGATCGCATTTCATCCTTCAAGGCCGAGCTCGATGTCATCTCCTCCATGAAGCCCAGTGGCCCCTCCAACGTCTCCTAGTCTTTGATCTGGGTCTCAAGGAGCTTGTCACTCCTACCTTGTTTATCCTGTTCCTTCCCAGTCTCTCTGCAGTCTTCCTCCTTCACTTTGCTCCATTTGGCCCTTCCCCCTTTGCTGTTGTTTGTGGTGCTTGTTTCCCCAGGCATCCTGAAGCTCCTCAGCAGTCAGGTCCCTGTGCTCTCGCTGGGCTCCCCTTGACGTTGTCACAAATTCACACTCAGCCCTCAAGACCCCGGTTCAGATATCAGCTCCAAGCTCTCTCCCTCTCTTTTCCTCCCATCCAGGGCACTGGGCAGACTGCGGTCAGCTGCTGTCATGGTGAAATGTAGTCAGCTATGTCTCTGTCCACATAATGTCCCACATTTGCCACTGGGGACATGGCCCTTTTTCTGCATTTGGTCTGATGTTTGTCTCCCCTTTAGCCTGGACTCCTAGAGGAGGGACTTGTCCTCTGTCTTGTCTGTGGGCCCTGGAGCCACCAGCAGGGGGCTAAGCAAGAGCAGTCAGTGTTTGGGGCCTGGGGCCAAAAAGGAAAGCTTACCCTTGCTGAGCTCTGTGCAGGGGGCACCTCACTAATGACCTCAGGGAACCCTCCTGATACCCTGGGGGAGCAGAGCCTATTTACAGAGATTGGCTCCACCGTGCAGGCTGGGTGCTGTGGCCTGGGTCCAGCTTGAGGTCACCATGCTCTGGTGCCGAGAGTGACCTCCAGCCTGCTTTGTCTTCCAGTGGAGCGAGACCACAGCCTGACCCACCAGGAGCCCCACTGGAAGGAGTTCCAGTTTGACCTGACTCAGATCCCAGCCGGGGAGGCGGTCACGGCCGCTGAGTTCCGGATTTACAAGGTGCCGAGCACCTACCAGGTCAACAGGACCCTCCACATCAGCATGTTTGAGGTGGTCAAGGAGCAGTCCAACAGGTGCCTTCCCCTCGCCCCTGCGGCTGCCCCTCCCTCACAGTCAAGTGTCTGTTGGTGTGTCTGACCCAGCCCTGGGGTAGGGGGTGTGTTTGTGTCCCAGAGGACAGAAAGGGGAACTTCATGGGGAGACCAGCCTCAGAGATGGGAGACATGCTTGACCCTGGAGGCCTCTTGGCACTGTGGGAAGAGCTCCAGCATCAGTCCTGGCTATGGGACCTTGGACAGGTCTCTGAGCCTCCATCTTCCCGGCTGTACATGGGTGCAGTAACACCCCTGATACAGTGAGAAAGGCGCCCAGCGCAGATACAGGCGTGGGGTAGATGCTCCACAAACGTCCCCCAGGTGGGCACAAGAAACACAGGGCAGCTGTGCTGGCTTCAGTTAATTGTTCTTTCGTGTCCACAGGGAGTCTGACTTGTTCTTTTTGGATCTTCAGACGCTCCGAGCTGGGGACGAGGGCTGGCTGGTGTTGGATGTCACAGCAGCCAGTGACCGCTGGTTGTTGAACCAAAACAAGGACTTCGGACTCCGCCTCTATGTGGAAACGGAGGATGGTAAGCCTCGGGCTCTGGGCAGGGCATGTTCTCCTGGGGCTCCTCTGAGGCTGTTGGCCACGTCAGGGGCAGTGGCGCTGCCTCATGTGGCCCTGGATGCCCAGCCTTTCTCAGATGTAACACCGGGGAGGTAACCCCTCCCCACTGTGAGGACTTGAGGTAAAGCCAGTAAGATTCCTGGCACAGTGAAGGACACACAGTAGGCCCTCAAACAATGGTGATTTCCTGAGTTGGTAAGAGAGTGAAGCAATGTTTTCCTTCCCAAGAAATGGACAGTTCTGTCTACAGAGCCCCCTTCTCTGCACTGGGAGTGCCCACTCAGGGGAGGGGCAGTAGGCTGAAGTAGTTCCACCCTCAGGCTTTGAGTCAGAGAGGCCTGGGTTTGAATCCCAGCTCTGCAGCTTTCTAGCTTGGTGACCTTGGAGGTTACTTACCTTTCCAAGCCTGTTTTCTCATGTGTAGAATGAAGATTCACTCATTCGATAAGTATTTTGGGGGCAATAGAAAGGCACTGATGACCAGAAGGCCTCAGGTGGACACAAGATTGGTGGTTTTGAAGGAGGAGGGCTGCCATGGCTCGAGCAGAGCAAGTGAGGGAGAGACTGGAAGGAGACTGAGAGGTTGACGGGGTGGCCTGAGTGAAGGCAGACCAGGGCAAGGTGCTGGGAGTTTTTAAGGTAGTTTGTGTTATTTAATGGCAATGGAGGATGACAAGATCTGATTGGACTTTTAAGAAAGAACCCTCTGATATACTGCCCCTCAAGGAGGTGGAGCATAACTCAGCACCCCTGAGAGTGACTAGGCTTAGTAACTTGCCTTCAAAGAGCACAGTATGCAAAGACAGTGGGACAGTAACTTTACGGTGGAGAAAGCTGACACACACTGTCGCAGCCAGGTGACCAAGGTTCACATCAACAGTGAGAAATCATGCTGATGGCAGGTACCCGTGGAATGACCTGATGAGGATGGCACTTCACCTCGGGGATCTTCCTCCCAACCCACCAACTCCAGTGTAACTATGGACAAAGCATCAGGCGTGCTGAAACGGAAAGACATCTACAGAATATCCATTTCATTTTTTAAAATTAGGATTATTAACTATATTTCATCTTACTTTTCGATTCAGTAGCATGGTTTAATTTTTATTGTATTCATTTTTTTACAATTATGATAAGAAAGTAAGTTTTTATTCCAGTTGTGCTATCAATTTTGTCATTGTTTAATCTTTTTTTTTTTTTTTATTGTTGTCACTGACCATTACTCTTGATACTTGAAGGTCATCAAAACCAAGTAAAGTCTGAGAAATTGTCACAACCTACAGGAGTTTAATGATTCATGATGAAGAAATGCAATGTTTCCTAGATGGGATCCCAGGACAGAAAAGAGTATTAGGCAAAAACTAAGGAAATCTAAACAGAGTACAGTGTTTGGTTAATAATAATATTGACTCTTTAGTTGTAGCAAATGTTCCTTAGCGATGTAAGAACAGGGGAGACTGGTTGCCAGATACATGGGGGAATCTCTGTACTATCTCTGCAATTTTCTATAAACCTAAACTCTTATAAAAGACAAAGTTCATTTAAGTATATGATAAAATGAAGCATCCTCTGACTGCAGTGGGGAGAATGGACCTGTTGAGAGCCACAGGGTGGTCCAGGTGAGAGCTGTTAAGTGCTTCTTGGGAGCAGCTGGGATGGAGAAAAGTGGTGGTGGTAGAATTGTCAGGACACAACTCTGGTGGCATAGTGCCTAAGGCATGTGACTGCTAACCAGAAGGCTGGTGGTTCAAACCCACCAGCCACTCCTCGGAAGGATGATTGGGCAATCCACTTCCATAGAGGTACCGCCTCGGAAACCCAAGGAGGGATCACTATGAGTCAGATCCGACTCGATGGTAGTGTGTTGTGTTGTTGCATTATGTACAGCTGAAGGAGCCTTGGTAGAATAGTGGTTAAGAGCTCGTCTGGTAACCAAAAGGTGGGAGGTTCAAACCCTCCAGCTGGTGTACAGGAGAAAGATGTGGTAGTCTGCTTCCATAAAGATTACAGCCTTGGAAGCCATGTGGGACAGTTCTGTTTTGTCCTATAGGGTCGCTATGAGTTGGAATCCACTCAAAAGCAATGGGTTTGGTTTTGATTATTTTTAGCTGGGTGTGTAGATGAGGAAAGGAAGACTCATGGATAATACCTAGAATTTTTTTGTGTGTGTGAGTTACGGAAAATTAAAACAGGAGTAGTTTGAGCTTCCTAGCTCAAGAATCTCTTTTGGCCATGATATTACTGAGATCCTGGTAGACATCCATGTACAAACATCATTCCAGGGAAAGGTGCATGCTGGAGACCCAGGTGTAGGAACCACTGCCATGTAAGTGGACTAGGCGAGAGCACCCAGGGAAAGAATGCAAACTCAAAACCAAACTCACTGCCGTCAAGTCAATCCTGACTCATAGCAACCCCTTCTTGGGTTTCCGAGGCGGTATCTCCATGGAAGTAGATTGCCCAACCTTCCTTCCGAGGAGTGGCTGGTTGGTTTGAACCGCCAGCCTTCTGGTTCATAGTCAAATGCCTTAGGCACTATGCCATCAGAGCTCCTGGGAAGGGGTACAACAGCACACAAAAAAAGAGGTCCAGCCTGGAGCCTTGGGGCCTCCAGCATCCAGATGTCCTACAGGGAGGGGCCTCTGAGACTGAGAGGGACCAGCCAGGGAGGAAGCAGGAACCTGGAGAGCAAGGTGACCCAGACACCAGGAGAAGGAAGAAGGAAGCAAAGAAGGCTTCCTAGGAGGAGGGAGTGTCCTCTGTCCTCTGTGACAGGTTGAGTAAGGCCAGGACTGAGAAGTGACCAGAGGGTTTGGTCATGTGGAAGCTGCTGACATCCTTGACCAGAGCAGCTCAGTGGAGTGTGGGGATGCCGTCTGACTGCGGAGCTGGAGGGAGAACCAAAGCAGGCAGCTGTGATAACAGGCAGCTCCTCCCAGAAGCTCTGCTGGAGAATCTGAGAAATGGGTGGCTGGAGGGAAACGTGGCCTCATTTCAGGTTAGGAGGTGGCAGAGTACTCATGTGTGCTGACTGGAATGATTCAGTGGAGAGAGAGAAAAACTGCAGAATCCTTGACAAGTTCCCAGAGAAGGGACTCGGAGCATGAAGAGGGACAGGCTCTTCAGGAGGGACCCTTCCTCTATGACTGATGGCTGGCTGTTCAGGACAGTGTGTCCCTGCTGTCACAATGAGGGTTGAACTTGAATTCTTCCAGGGGGATGTAGTGAGTGGGGCATGCACACACTTGGAGTTGTCAACAGGATTACATACAGAGTGCTCAGTGAGGGTGACTGTCACACCTGACCCACCATTGTTCACCCTTATCAGTACCCAGTGTCATCACTATTAGGTCACCGCTGTGCCTGTTTATTAGATAGATACTCGGTGTGTCTGGGGAAGCTCGAGTTTCTGCCAGAGGCTCCACAGGGTCAGGCGGGCGGGCGGGGGCGGAGGGAGAAGGGGCTTTGGGTCAGTGCTTGGTGGGTGGCTGTGAGCTCAGCTCTGTGCTTCCGAGGGACTGTGTACCTAATACGGGGACTCGACCGAGGGCAGCACCATCACCGGGGCTATGGACAGAGTCTTCTGATCAGCAATCAGCAGATTGACTGGGGACCACTAGGGCAGATTCCCTCCCCAGTCCCGAACCAGCAGCCCCGAGAGCGCGGCAGCGTGAGCAGCTTCCTCAAAGGCGAGGGCCGCTGCTATAGCGGTTGCGCGAAGGCTCCGCAGAGCCTGAACGTAGGTTTCGAATCCCATCCGTCTGCCCTGTGCCCCGGCGCATCCTTGGCCTCTCTGCCTGTGTCCACACAGACTGGGTCGCTCTCCGCCTCTAGGCTGTTCCCACTGCAGAGGCCTGGTGACGTCACCCTGACGAGCGTCCGGCCTCTGTGACTTAAAGGCAGCGGCGGCCTGGGAGTCCCCATGCGGAGCTCAGTTGCGCGCCCCGGCGTCTTCCCTGCGAGGCCTCTGACCGTGCCCTCCACATGGCGGCGCTCCGGCTCCTCACCGCGGGGCTGCGGCTTGGCGTTTTTGGCGTCTGCTCCGGGGGAGCCCGGATCGGCCCCGCTCTGTCCAAAGATTGTGCTCGCTGCTTCTCCATCAGCCCCCGCCACCAGGCCAAATTCTACAAAGACGCAGTGGAGGCCGTCAAGGACATCCCTCATGACGCCACCGTCCTGATGGGTGGGTTCGGGCTCTGTGGGATCCCAGAGAACCTGATCCAGGCCTTGCTGAAGACCGGCGTGAAAGGGCTCACCGTGGTCAGCAACACCGTTGGCGTGGATGACTTCGGGCTGGGCCTCTTACTGGCGACCAAGCAGATCAAACGCATTGTCTGCTCCTATGTTGGGGAGAACGCCATCTGTGAACACCAGTATTTGTCTGGGGAGCTGGAGCTGGAGCTGACGCCCCAGGGCACGCTGGCAGAGAGGATCCGCGCGGGGGGCGCTGGGGTGCCTGCCTTTTACACCAGCACTGGTTATGGGACGCTGGTCCAGGAAGGAGGTGCACCCATCAGGTACTACAACGATGGCCACCTTGCCGTCATCAGTAAGCCCAGAGAGGTGAGGGAGTTTCAGGGCCACCATTATCTTCTGGAGGAAGCAATCACAGGAGATTTTGCCTTGGTGAAAGGATGGAAGGCCGACCGCTCAGGAAACGTTATCTTCAGGAAAAGCGCAATGAATTTCAACGTGCCTATTTGCAAAGCTGCAGAAATCACAGTGGTAGAAGTGGAAGAAATTGTGGACGTTGGAACATTCCCCCCAGAAGATATCCATGTTCCTAACATTTATGTAGACCGCTTGATAAAAGGAGAAAAGTATGAGAAGAGAATTGAACACTTAGCAGTCCAGGAAGAGGGAGACAGACACACCATAGATAAAGATGACCAGAGGACTCGCATAATCAAACGGGCAGCTCTGGAATTTGAGGATGGCATGTATGCTAATTTGGGCATAGGGATCCCTCTCCTGGCCAGCAACTTCATTAGCCCGAATATGACTGTTCATCTTCAGAGTGAAAATGGAATCCTGGGCTTGGGACCATTTCCATCACAAAGCGAGGTGGATGCAGATCTTATCAATGCCGGCAAGCAAACAGTCACTGTTCTTCCTGGTGCCTCTTTCTTCTCCAGCGATGAGTCATTTGCAATGATCAGGGGGGGACACCTCAGTCTGACAATGCTAGGAGGAATGCAGGTTTCTAAATATGGTGATCTGGCTAACTGGATGATTCCTGGGAAGAAAGTGAAAGGAATGGGAGGTGCCATGGATTTAGTGTCCAGTCCCAAAACCAGAGTGGTGGTCACCATGCAGCATTGTTCAAAGGCAAATGAACCCAAAATCTTAGACAAGTGTACGATGCCACTGACTGGGAAGCGCTGTGTGAACTGAATCATCACGGAAAGGGCCGTGTTCATTGTGGACCCAAAGAGAGGACTGACACTGATTGAGCTCTGGGAAGGCTTGACAGTGGATGACATCAAAAAGTGCACAGGGTGTGCCTTCGCAGTCTCACCGGACCTCAAGCCAATGCAGCAAATTAGAATGTAAAATGCAAAGTCAACCTTTGCCATGGAATGGGTGATTTCCATTCTCACCCCATAGGACTAAATTGCGAGGAAGTCAGTCATCACATTTGTACGTTTCACTAGCAGTTTGACTAGTTTCCTTCTGGTCTCTCAGACCTTTCTGCAACTGGACAGACTTTCTCAAGAGGGATGACTTGAATTAAAAACACAAGAAAAAACGTAAAAGCTTATTGTGTATGTTCTGTAAGTGCTGAGAAAGCTCTGCTACAATCGCTGAGGACATTGGTGGCCCTTTCATCTTCTGTGATGTTTACATTATGTTACATGTAGCTTAGGTGATCTCATAGGAAGGATTCCACTGAAGTGATGTCCCTCATAGTTCAATCAGGAAATATAGAAAAAAATAAGATGAGAGAAAAAAATAACTTCACCCAGAGTAGACCTAGGGCACCATTTTTATTAGTATCATGAATAATATGCAAATGTATGGGAATTTGTGATCAACAGAAATATGTCTTTAAGATTTTTCTTTTGGCTCCTCTGACTTTTCTGGGCTCTTTCATTTTGTTGCTAAATTTTATTTCCCTATATCCTTACCTCTTCCCTCCACACTGTCCTCGTAGCTAGACAGATGTCCCTAGAAGGAAAGCAGGACCATCTCGGTGGGGCAGTGAACTAGTTGCTGGGAGAGACTGTGGAAGGAGAGACTGTTGGTGCTGCTACTCTACCCAGAAGCCTCTATAAACAATCCACCTGTGTCTATAATAGGCTGCAGCTTATAGTAGGAGGAATGCCAGAACCCTAACTGGTGGATGTCAGTGAGTTTTCTCATCTTAAAGGTAGTGTCCCCTCTTGTCTCGACCAGAAACATAGATCCTTCTGCTCTCTATGCAAGCTCTAACTGGCCTCTGAATTCAGTCTCAAAATTAAAAAGGAAAACTTAATATGTGTATGTAAAGTGTTAAAAATGCCTGCAGGGACCATGGACTTTATACGGTAGCTCTGGGGATGCATATGGGGATGCATATGGGAACATATTGGAAAGAGAGAAAATTACAGCTGGTCAAGGAAAGTCACCCTGAAGGAAGGATCAGACCCTGCAAGGGAGAGATGGGGACGGGGAGACAGAACTCATTGAGGGGATGCCTGGAGGGGGCAAGGCCAATGGCCAGGGGATGGAACATCATTGAGTGGACAGTAGTGTATTCTTTGGGGCTTCTGGGGAGGACGGTAATTGAATCTGCCCTGGGTGTCAGGAGCTTTCCAGCAGCAGGTGGAGAAAACAGGTTTCCATGAACAGACAAGCTGTGGGCTGTTAAGACAGTCAAGAGAAGGAAATACTGACTCTCTCATATGAGGAGTTTTTAAGAACTATCCTAAGGGTCTACACCACTCCTGGTCTTAGACATCTCCACATGGGGTTTGCTACCAAAGTTTCCAACCCTATCATCCTGATTGTCCGTCAGTATGACACCAGGGTTACTTGTCCAACTGCTGGCTGACATGGGACAAGGGCTGCAGGGAAGGCTCAGGGGCATCCAGAACAGAGAGAAGCCTTGGTGAGAGGATGTGAATTAGGACTTAACCACTTGCCCTGGGACAGGGCAGGGCAGGTGTGCTGCTGGCACATTTCTGGGCTGTTATAGGGCAGGCTCAGAAGTGGTGTGAGACTGGGGGCCTCATCTGGCCCACCTGGGCCCAGAAGAGCAGCAACTTCCATCTGACCTTAAAGGGGAAGAGAATAGTGTGTCCCACATCTGGAGGCATGTGATAGGCATAGCCTGTCATCTTCAAAGGGGACAACATGCCTGCTAGCCCTCTCCTAAGGTCAGGTGTAGAGGCAGGGATCTGGAGCCCCCAAAGGCTCCTGCAGCCCCACCTACCTTTGGGGCCTGCCCAGACTGGGGAAGCCTAGGGGCTCACCACCTGCCAGCTAGAGCCCAGGAGCCCTGTTTGATGGTGCATTGGGCAAAAAGCTGAGCTTGTGGGGTGGGGGTGCTCTGAGGTCTGGAAGGAGGGGCAGAGAAGCCCTTTCCCAGGACTGCTAGATTAGGACTCCTGAAAGAGACCAGGTGTTTGCCCTTGCCCTCCCCACCCCTTACCTCGACCTAGTTTGCTAGGAAAGGGTAGGAATATCCTGGCTCTGTTGTAGCTTGTGGGACCTGAAACAGTGACTACTCTCTCTGGACCTTGGTTCTGCTCCTGTAAAATAGGAAACTAGGATTCGATGCTTCCAAGGATCCTCAAGGGGCTCGTCTGGACTGTGAGGGCCTCCAGAGGGCTCCCCAGTACCCAACACAGGCCTGGCTCTGTGGGCCCCATGAGGCTTTGTGCATCATTGGGCTCACGTGTCCTTGTGTTCTGCACCCAGGAGACCCCAGTGAGATCCTTGAGGGGCATTTGCACAAAAGGAAGACAAATTGTGAACAAAGCCCTGGAGGACTGATCCACCTCCCTGGGCCCAAGGTAGATAGGTTCCCGCAGGGACTCAAAGAGCAGTGGCACAGACAGGCCTGGAGGGCCTGCCCTGGCTCCAAGCGAACCCCCGTGTGTCCTTCAGTCAGTGGAGCTCCACTCCAGAGGCTGGCGTCGATATGTATCAGCTCCCCAACCCCAGTCTGCTCCGTTCTCTCCTCTTTGAGATCCTAGTTACCTTTCCCCTGTGCTCTGCACATAATTTACTTTTCTCGTGGTTTCTGTGTCCTCATAGCACTGCTTCCTTATAACTTTGACTTGCAGTGACCCAAACTCTACTGAATGGCTTTCCTCTGACCCTTCTGGGTCAGCTCCTGCAGCTAACACCCTCCCTGTCTCAGCAGCTCTTGGTCACACTTTTGACAGTGAGCCTCCAATTGGCCCAGTGTACTTTTATGTGGCAGGTGATGTCACAGGTCAAAGTTTGGTCTCTGGATTGATTGGTTGTTCAGTCAATGGTGGCCAGTGGATACCTGGTTGAAAGCACTGCTGTCTAAGAGCTGACCTTTGAGTGAGACTGGGTGGGGCAGGCAGGCAATGTCCTTGACTGTATAGTGTATAGTGGAGAGCTAGTTTAGACCTGCTGTGGAACAAATTGGTCAGTGAAAAGGAGGCCAAGTTCCAGGGCACATGGTTATTTCAAATCTTCTCCCTTCATTGGGATGGATCAACACAGTAGTGTCAACAGTGTCCTCAGACATCAAAGATCATGGCAATGGTGTAGGACTGCATGGCCTTTCGTTCTGTTGTACATAAGGTCAGCGTGAATCAGAGTCAACTCAACAGCAACCACGTGGAACCAGTAGATATATGTATAATGTGTATATAAATGTATGTATGTGTGTGCCTGCATTTGTGTATACACATGCACATATGTGCCATCACATATATATGGATGTGTGTGTTTCCAATATTGAGGTGAAGTGCAACCTCATGTAAACTGAACAATTGATACTATGTGTGAAAAGACATAAAAATGGGTTAATAATCCTGCTCCTGTAATTCAGTAGAAGAAAGTTTCACAGGAAAAAAAAAAAAAAGAAAGAAGAAGAGGTTTTAGTACATTTTTATCTTTATAATGAAAGCCAGGAAATGACCTAAATGCCTAAGAATAGGATAATAATTGAGTGAATGTATCTACTGAAAGTAATTTTTCTGCATTTGAAGTATTTATTATTGAGACTTATTTGGACAATCAGGAAAACAGTTATGTGAAAAGTTGTGGGGGATGGGGGTACGCAGACCTTTTTGCTGTGCTGACAACTGGGTGAAAATTAAAAGTCAACCTGTGAAAATGCCCTTGGAAATGCAAATGGATGTGCTGGCGGGGGGGAGGAGGCTTATGAGCGAGATTTTTTCTCAAAAGTTTTTTACTGTGGTTATTATATTGTTTTTACAGTTTTTAAAAATAAGAGGATATTTGGAAATAAAAAAGAGGGACAGGAAGGTTGTTTTGTTAGTGGCGTCTTTTCATTCCCAGCGTTAATTACCTTGTTTTTGTGTGTGTGTGATCTTCAGCCTTTCAGCAGCTGTGGGTTAAAATCCCATCTTTATAGGCTTCACTGTTCCAAGGTTAGGCCCAAACCACGGCCCTGCCTACAGCCTTTCTTCTTTTTTAACCATAAACTCGTTGTTTATGCATAGGTTATGACTCATAGCGTCTTAGTGGCTAAGAATGTGGTCTCTGGAAGGAGACCTACATGGGTTGAGCCCTGGCTCTGGGACCTTGTTTAAGTGTCTTTGCCCCCTGGGCCTTGAGGTCTCATTTATGGGGATCAAAGCAGCACTCCTAGCAGTTCCTACAATTAGCTGGCTACTACCACAAAGCACACAGAGACAGGCCCACAAAGTATGGGGTAGGAGATAGAACAGGGCCTCGGACTCCTCAGACTGAAGGGGGATCCTGATGCTGAGGGTCCGTGGCTGTGATACCAGAACTGACTGACTCTGAGTTTCTTCCTGTGAAGACTGAATGAGATGAGTGTGTGAAAGAACTTGGAAACTTGAAAAACACTCTGCAAATGTCACTTTTCATGGTCATCTCTTATCAACAGTCCCCAGGGACCTCCCACCTGCTGCCTCTTTCAGACCTGCCTGC